GTGTTAAACCCACAAGTGGGTAAACACATGAATATTAAGGTTAAGAGATGGAAAAGAATTGAAGAGCATCACTTCTAGGGTTTTAGAAACAATCGAAACGAAAAACAGACGAACAAGGAGTTCGGAGAGCCGAACCAAGAAAATTGAGGTTTTTGACCGAATAGAGTTGACCAAGTCAAAACTTATTGAGCAAGATTCGATTAATAAGTCACCCTTGAAAGGATAGTCAATGTTGAACAAAGTTGACTTTGTTGACTAACTGTCTAAAAAGCGTGGGTAAAACGCGTACTGGATAAGAATTAAACTGAACCAAAATAAAATAGTTATTAGAAATGGATGGTTTAGATTTAAGGTGAAAAAATTAGATGAAGGGCTGAGATTGAGGCATGTGGAATGCAAGGTGGCCGGCCAAGCTTAGTGAACAAGGAAAGAAAAGATATTTTTGGTCAAATTTGGTGAAATTTTGTAAAACGGTTCCTCAAAAGTGCCAAAATTACATTTTAGTCCTCCCACTTTATTAAGTCCGGTTTTTAAGAGATAAAACTACCACCAAATGTTCATTTTTTATGCTAAGAACAGAGAGAACTTAGCCAAAGAGAAAGGAAGAAAACAAAATTCACCCAAACTGAGAAAAATGAGTTTTGATCGAAATTGTCGAAACGACACTGCTAGTTCACGTCACTAAGGATTTCTCTTCATTCTCTAAGGTAAATTTTGGTTTTCTTTTCACTTTTTTCTACTTTGACTGCACGATTAAGTATGGGAAAAAGAATGAAAATTTTTTACTTAAGATGATGATTCAACTTATGGTTGTTAAGAGCTTGAAAATCTAGTGAATTAAGGAGGAATTCTAGGTTAATTGACCCTTCTTTCTAGAAATTCTTGCTAGAGAGGATTTTTGTGGAAATATGGAGAAACTCTAGAATTGTGATGTTATTTAGGATTAAATCAAAAGAGAAAGAATAAGAATTGTGTTTGATGGTGGAAACAACAGATAAAACGAGCTAAAAGTTGGCACAGGAAACCTTGGAAAATAGGCGGAACTCTACCGAAATTTAGTTTGAGCATTTTGAACTAAACCGGTTTTCATGAGGAATAAGGGATTAAGATGTGAAAAGCAAGTCGATTTGATAATCGGTGATGTATAGAAACCGAACACAATGAGAATTCACAGATTTAGACCAAACTGAAAATTAGACCCATGACTGAGGAAGGTGCATGGTTTTAGTGTAAATTCTTGAGATAGAAAATATTTTGGCATTGAATACAAAACATAAAGATTGTAGATCTTTCTGAATTAAATTTTAATATAACTATTGATCTTAGATTTTGAATCTAACGATCGAAAATTTATGCGATAGGATCGATTAACAATCGAAGTCAGAAAGCATCACGTAAGACAGAGGACGCGACATTAGTAAAACTTCGGTAAGTATCAGTAGTTTTTCATGCCTACAACGTGAATAAATTTATTTCTCTATGTTGCTCAATCCGAGCATATTATAGACAAAATGTATGCTAGAATGTGAAAGATGACTCCTGAATGTTGGATACAATGTTATGCATGTATCAGCAGTAGTAGAATTTTATTCTGCGAAAAATATGTATCGACATCAAGTTAAGAGAAAAAGTTAAACTTTAACGAAAAGTCAATCTCATGATAAACTTCTCAAAAATGCACAAAGTCATATGATTTAACTAAATTTACCATTTCAATGAGAAAGATTGATAAACGGTAAGAGATCAAACATCCTGTTTGTACTAACCTTCAAAGGAAAGGTTATTATGAGACTATCAAAGAGACGAAACCATGACTGAGCCGGATTGGTTAGCTACCCCACTCCTCACTGGTTATGCGCGCTATGGTATAACAGGACAGGGCCCATAAGAAGTAAAAGACAAGAAAATGAAAAACATAAACCGTTCGATATAAACGTGTGGTATCTATAAAGAAGAATGAGAAACACAATATGAAAGTCGTTCAGAACATGAAAATACAACGTAAATGACTAAAGTAAGACGAAAACTGAACAAAGTATGCAATGAAAGAAGAAGAACATAAGCAATACATGTTCTAGTGGTACAAAGTATCTTAGGATATATGACACGAATGCATATATGGGTATGCATAATTATTGCATCTATTATGACCTAATGTTACTTGTTTAGCGAAAGCTCATTAAGTTTGTTCGTGTTGTAGGAAGCTCGGGTAAGGCACCAGCTCCCTAAAACTTGTTGTTGGGCATGAAGAGAGGATGTAGCAGCGGAGTGTGGGCAAGTGGGTAGTGGATGTATCACGTGTTTTGAAAATGCTGCTGAGCTTTAGGTGTATAAAGTAAACAATGTTTTATGAATATAGATGAGTTATGTAACAAAAGTTTAGTTTACGAGACAGTGAGGCTATGCATAGCAACCTCAAGTCATAAGGTATGATTAATGTATCTAAATGCAATAGTATTAACAGAATGCATAGAAAAATGCTACAACATTAAGACGTATGAATTTACGACGATTGTCGTCGTAACTATAATTGTGACGACTGCTTGACGTCGCAATAATTTTTTTTGTGACGAATCAATTACGGTGACAGTTTTACGACGACAAGTGGTTGCTAAAAATTCATTTACGATGATTTTTTATTTTTTGTAACGACTTTTTATCGTCGCTAATAGCCCTGTTTCTTGTAGTGATAACTGAAAATTTATGCTTTAGACATTAGTTTTTCGGTACCGTTAATAACCATAAACAAATCATCATCCTTAGTAAAAAATTTTCCATGGTTTCTACTATTTATGGACGTATAGCTATGGTGAAAAATGAGGAGAAAATTTGAAATTTTACCTTAGAAGAATGAAAAGCAAGCTCTGATGACGCTAATCAACGGTAGTTTTCCGCTGTTTTCGATTTGAACTCGTTTTTCTCACTTTGGGAAATTTTTTTCCTCTCTTTCTTTGGGTGAGTATTCTCTTTTTTCTTGCATGGAAATTAGCATTTTTCTTATTTATGTAAATAGATGGCTGAGACATTAAATTCTTTCTCTTTCCTTTTTCAGCTTATTCCAGTACTTGTCAAGAGTAGGATCTTGACGTTGAGCTTCTACCATCTGGGCAAAAATAGATGATTGTATCTGAAAAAGTGGCTAGTTTTCCTGTAATTAGCTCTAATCCTAACGAACAAATATCTTTATATAGAGGTGTTGGAAATTTGTCAAACGACAAATGGCTTAATTCAGTAGTCTTGCGACTTAAAGCGTCAGCCACCCTATTGGCCTTTCCAAGGTGGTAAAGGATTTCACAGTCATAATCCTTTACTAATTCTAACCATCTATGTTGCCTCATATTAAGTTCTTTCTGAATGAAAAAATACTTGAGACTTTTATAATCAGCAAAGATTAGACATTGCGCACCATAATGATAATGTCTCCATATCTACAAAGCGAAGACTACTACTGCCAATTCAAGATCATGAGTAAGATAATTCCTCTCGTCATCTTCAATTGTCGAGACGCATATGTGATTACCATCCTATTTTGCGTTAATACTACTCCAAGTCTTAATTTGGAAGCATCGCTGTATATGTAAAACTTTTCTCCATCCGTCGGGATGGTAAGGATTGGTGCAGTAGTTAGCTTTCGTTTTAATTCTTGAAAACTTTCCTCACACTTTTTAGTCCATTCATACTTCTTTTCTTTTCGCGTAAGGGCAGTAAGTGGTAGAGCTAGTCTTGTGAATCCCTCTACAAATCTCTTATAATATCTGGCCAAACCTAAAAAACTAAGAATTCTGTTACGTTTCTTGGTACGGGCTAGTTACTAACTGCTTCAATCTTCGCTGGATCTACCGAGATACCATCTTTTGAGACTTCATGCCCCAAGAAATGGACTTTATTAAGACAAAATTCACACTTTGAGAATTCGGCATATAATTGATGTCTCTTCAATGTCTGAAGAGTAATTCTTAAGTGTTCTTCGTGTTCCTTATGATTCCTTGAATAAACTAGTACATCATCAATAAAAACAATGACGACTTTATCCAATTCATCAAATCCATGAAAGCTGCTAGGGCATTAATTACTGTAAACGGCATTACAAGAAACTCGCAGTGCGCATAGCACATCCTAAAAGCCGTCTTTGATATAACTTGCTCCCTAATCTTCAATTAGTGGTAACCAGATCCCAAGTCAATCTTCGAGAATATCGCTGCCCCCTTAAGTTGATCAAATAAGTCATCGGGCCTGGACAAAGGATATTTATTCTTTATTGTGACCTTATTGAGCTCACAACAATCAATGCACATTCTCAATGAGCCATCTTTCTTCTTTACAAATAAAACAGGAGCTCCCCAAGACGAATAACTTGGTCGGATAAATTTTTTTTCCAATAACTCTTGCAGCTATGTTTGTAACTCCTTGAGCTCTGGAGCCATTTTTCTTATAAGGGGCCTTAGAATTGGTGTTGTTCCAAGTAAAAGTTCGATTTCAAACGAAATCTCACGTTCCGGGAGCAATCCTAGTAATTCTTCTGGAAAGACTTCCAAAAAAATCTTAGAATATCGGCACATCCATTGATTTTTAGTCAAAAAAATATATTAGTTAAAAGGGTATTAATCAATAGAAATAAGTAAAAACTCAAACTCATACACTCCAAAAATAAGTTTAGTAATTTTCTCTATATTTTTAAATTCTAATTTCCCCATGTATTATCACCCATAAAAATTTAGAACAAAATTCGTAAGCAGATAGTCAAACACGATCGCCTAAAAATCTAAAGACTATTCAAGTAATTCAAGCCTAATGGGGCCCAAATTCACCTAAACCCTCTAACTCATTCATAAGCAACAAAACCGTCTTTGTCTTTCTACAAACTTAAGTATATACTAATTGACATATTTTTACACCTTCCACTGCCGGTAAATTCCACATCAGACCACTATAAATAGAGCATATTTCCCAAGCATTAGGCTTCACACCACTCCAAAGGGAACAAGCTAGTCCCGTAAACAATGTCGTTTTCTCATTTGTTCATCTTACTCCTTGGAGTACTTCTCACCCTTCAAACTCTTGCCGATAACTATAAGCCCCCAGAGCAAGAGCCTGACCATGAGCATAAGCCCCCAGAGCAAGAGCCTGACCATGAGCATAAGCATGAGCATAAGCCTAAGCCGCCACCGATCTCGCTTTACGAGAAACCTCCACATGGAGAGAAGCCTAAGCCCAAGCCAAAACCTCCACACCAATCTAAAGTGGTGAAGCCAGGAAATGATGGAAAACCACGACAGGGGCCGCCGCACAAGCATCCGCCACATGGTCAGTAACCGAGACAGCCTCCTTACAAGAAGCCCCCAAGTGGACCCTACAACCCACTATCGAGTCATGGTCATCTGTACTAATGAAATAAGATCATGATATAATTATAGAGAGGTCGATGTTAGGGTTTTCACTTTTCAGTAATAAGAGTTGTTTACGACTCATGGCATGCATTACGGAGCTTACGTACGTGTCTTCTTGTCCTATATATATATATATATGTGTGTGTGTGTGTGTGTGTCGATGGCTGTTGGAACTTCACTTGTTAGCTGATGAGCCTATCCAATATTTTCTTGCTTATTGTTAAATTCAGTTCTGTGATCGTTTGTAATATTTTATGAGATGTGAATATCTCTCTTGGCCTCTCTTTTCTTCCTTTCTTTTTCATTGATGATGGAATATTTCTACAGTAAGTAGTTTTAGAAACAACTTAAATACTTAACTAATAATCACTTTAGTGTACCTGGTTTTTTTTTTTTTTTAAGAACATGCAAAAACTTCATTTAAAAGAAAAGAAAAAAGTCTTGCAAAATTGAAATATAAAAACCTAAGAGTGCTAAAAACGAAGACAAAACCAAATGAAACAAAACAAAACAAAAGTAAGAAGAAAACAAAAAACAAACAAAAGTAAGTTTTGTAGGAAGAAACCTGGTTCCTTTTTAAGAAAAATAATAATAATACAAAATAAATAGATAAAAAGGTAAATCCCTCACTCAAATTTATTAATAAGAAAAAGAAACAAATAAAAGGAAAATCATAAATCAACCAAAATAGATAACAAAACAAGAAAATAAAAAACGGTAATAACAAAACCCTACAGAAAAGGCCAACGAGAATAACCAAAACGTGGCACGAGCAGTGATCCAATCCGATTTTATTTATGCAACTTGAAACCCAAGCTTCCACTCAGAACATGCAGACCATACTCCTTTTTCTTTCGAGTACTAGTTGTGGACACGTTCACGTGTGGATTCAATTTTTTTAATTATCATTTTATACAAATTTTTTAATTATTGTTAGTATATGGTGTTAAAGTTTTTTTATAAGAAATATATAGACGTTAAATTTTTAAATAATTATTTAGTTATTTAATCTGCTTTCATAAGAATTCAATGAAATCATGTGACCAATTAATAAGAAATGACCAGTAATAGATTGAAATGCTTGGTTTATTCACTAATCAAATAATTATTTAATTATTTAATTTTTTTAAGAGTTCAATATAATCATGTGACCAATTAATTGGTAATGAACAATAATAGATTGAAATGCTTGGTTTGTATATAGTGAATATTAGAGAAAACATGATTTTAATGAGGCATATTTAAAGATATGAGATTTTCTTCACAAAAAAAAAAGGCAGATGCCCAAAACTGCGCACTTCAATTAAAATATATTTGTCAATTGAATATTCTATATTGATAGAGAAATAGAAAATAAAATTAAGAAAATAAAATTTTGATAAGGCCAAACAAAATAGACTGATTAGGGATTTCTTATAAAAAGGAAAAAAGATTTAAGTGGAGGCATAATAAACATAAACAATATATAAGTAGAGCCTACTCAATAATTAAATAGAGAACGAAGTGTAATATGAGGAAGAAAAATTACTTTTGGCAGGAATAGTTTTGAGAAAATTATTTCATAAGGAAAGTCTGGAAATAAAGAATGTACCATTGAAGGACAGAAAATTTTTTTAATGTGGACAATCTGTGAAAAAATTATTTTAATCAGAATACATTAAAATGAAAAATTATTTCAATGATATATCTTTTAAGAATATAAGAGTTTAAGGGGAATAGATAAAAATAAATAAAACGTAAACCAAAAAACAAGAAAGCAAAAAAGGACAAAATTAATTAATTGAAAAAAAAATTATGTATATACAATAGGTGCAATTAAAAACAATTATGAAGGCCACATATTTGAGGGAAAAAAAGACAATATGTTAGAGTATTGCATGAAAAAGATTAAGATTACATTTAAAAAAAAAATAATTTTAATATGACATTTCATTAGGAAAGTATGGAAATAAAGTATGTACAATTCCCGGACCGAAATTTTTTTTAATGTGGACAATTTGTGAAAAACTTATTTTAATCAGAAAACAATAAAATGAAAAAGTATTTCAATGATATATCTTTTAAGAATATAAGATTTTTAGCGGAATAAATAAAAATAAAAATAAAACGTAAAGAAAAAAAGAAGAGGCAAAAAAAGGACAAAATAAGTCAATTAAAAAAAATATATATATATATATACAATAGGTGCAATTAAAAACAATTATAAAGGCGACATTTGAGAAAAAAAAATATTTTAGAGTATTGCATGAAAAAGATTGAGAGAACATTTTAAAAAATAATTTTAATAAGACATTTCATTAGGAAAGTAAGGAAATAAAGTATGTACCTTTGTGGGACAGAAACTTGTTTAATGTGGACAATTTGTGAAAAAAATAACTTTAATCAGAAAACATTAAAATGAAAAAGTATTTCAATGATATATCTTATAAGAATATAAGATTTTAGGGGAAGAAATAAAAATAAAAATAAAACGTAAACAAAAATAAAATAAACCTTGAAACCGCGACTCCATTTCTTTTTTAATAACTCCGTATTGTTAACTTTTGAAAGGATTAAATTGTAATCTCTAGCTCTATTTGCTTGCTTTCTTAAAATAACTGGAGTAAAGACTCCATGTTAACCATAATCATCATCACCACTATCATAACTCATAATAACAACTTGGCTCCTGAAGTAGAGACTCCCTATTAACTAATGATTTCACAAAACTTAACTAATATACGAAGCAGAAATAATATATTTATATGTGTGTAATATGTATATATCTATATATTATGCATAATACTTGAGTAAATGTCTTTTATCAAAATTGGTAAACAAATCGATACCTTTCAGTGTTTTGATAATACCAGATATGCACATGCTTCTAAGAAATGTTATGTCATTTTTTTTTTTTTTGAAATTTGGAATATCCTTTATGTTCCTTTCTTTTTCCCTTAGTTTGAAGTTATATGAAAAAAGGTAAAACAATTATTAGTTATCCCTAACACTTTGAAATTACTATAAAAAAACAGAGAATATTTATTTCAGCGCTTTTAAAGATAATTTTGAACTCCTCTCAAGAAAATAACAAAAAAAAAAGTAATTTTAGTATGTAAAAGAATAAGCAACCATAACAATGTTATTTTAAAAGCGGGATATCCATATGATATTATTAAAATATTAAGACAAAGGGTATATCTTTTCTTTTTAGGATCGTAAAAACCCATTCAGATAACCTTTTTGTACAATTTCAAGCTTTAATTTGCAAGAAAATACTAAAAGCAGTCTTCAAATTCCTTCCAACAGACATTTTTTATCTTGACATGTATCATCTTTAATTGTTACAAGTCATGATATTTATTTGGCATTTATATGCCTCTACTTTTTGCAATTTTCTTTCTCCTTTCTGCCTTGAGTTGAGCATTATTTGTATCTGCCTTAATATCATATCCATAAGTCTAAGATTCTTGTTGAATTTTAGTTTTTCTTTTTTATTTTTTTAATAGAAGTTTCAGTTTTTCTTGTAATAAGACGTACTAAAAAAAATCCTTTGTTTCTTTCTCTTTTTTTTTTTAACCGAGTTAAAGACTTTGTTGCCCCCTTATAAGATCACGGGTTAAAAAGTTGTATTTTTCTAGCGATTAGGGGGACGTATTGACGTGAGCCGACAATTTTGATTTTCTTCAGGTTGTCGTTCCTCAAAGTAGATGCGGTAATATCCACTCACTCGAATCCTCCAAAATCAATTTGAAAATATCGGACCCTCCATTGGAAAGAAAAAGAAAGATAATCGAATTACTTTCTTTGGTTTATAGTCATTCTAAAGAAAATGCATTTCAATCAATTTGGTGGAATAGCCATTAGGCCAATGTGATTAGTCCAATTTTAATCAGAAGGTATTTCCCAAGTGCCCCTTTCAAATTTTATGATAACCTCATCACCTCCTCCCTCTATCAAACATTATCTAAAAATCTCAAGACAAGATAAATCAAAGAGTCAGCACATTAATTAGTTGGAGAAAACTATGTAAATGATAGATTATAAGTAAGAAATCCATCTCCCAATAATATGATGTCTTTCGAAATAAAGCCCAAAAATACGATACGATATTAGATATAAAGCGGACAAAATCATGTCAAATGAAGGTATGGGTCGGAGAAGATTGTTAGGATGCACCACTGAAAAACTTCTCCGCCAAGTGTCATTTATCCCTCTCACTACGCTATCAACACTCATAATAACAACTTGGCTCCCGAAGTAGAGACTCCCTATTCACTAATTAATAACTTCAAATAACATAACTACGAAGCAGAAATTATGTACATATATATATTCTGAATAATACTTGAGCAAATATCTTTTATCAAATTTGGTAAACAAAAATTGGTACCTTTCAGTGTTTTGATAATACCAGATATGCACATAGTGCTTCTAGGAAATGTTATGTCTCTTTTTTTTTTTTTTTCCAAATTTGGATTATCCTTTATGTTACTTTTTTGTTTCGCCTTACTTTGAAGTTATACGAAAAAGGGTAAAAAAAAAAATTGTTAATTATCCCTAACACTTACTTTAAAAAAATAGAGAATATTTATTTGAGCGCTTTTAAAAGTAATTTCAGTTATGTTAAAAAATAAATAAATTGAAGGACATCCCAAACCAGAAAGAACGCGCAAGCAACTATAACAATGTTATTTAAAAGCGGGATATCTATTTGATATTATTAAAATATTAAAACAAATATTAAAACAAAGGGTTTTTTTTTTTTTTTTAGGATCCTAAATACCCATTCTGATAACCATTTTGTACAATTTCAAGCTTTAATTTGCAAGAAACATTAATAGCAATCTTCTTCATGAGTTCAAATTCCTTCCGACAGACATTTTTGATCTTGACATGCATTATCTTTAATTGTTACAAGTCATGATATTAATTTGGCATTTATATACCTCTGCTTTTTGCAATTTTCTCTCTCCTTTCTGCCTTGAGTTGAGCATTATTTTTATTAGTTTCTGTTGTTCTATAATTGCTTTTTTTTATTTTTTTTATAACCGAGTTACAAACCTTTGTTGTCCCCAAAGGCCACGGGTTAAAAAGATTTAATTTTATAGCGATTAGTGGACGTATTGACTTGAGCCGATAATTTTGATTTTCTTCAGGTTGTTGTTCCTCAAAGAAGATGCGGTAATATCCACTCATTCAAATCCTCCCTAATCAATTTGAAAATATCGGACCTTCCATTGGAAAGAAAAGGAAAGATTTTGAATTACTTTCTTTGGTTTATAATCATTCCAAAGAAGAAGGCAATATTTCCACCAATTTGGTGGAATAGCCATTTGGCCCATGTAAGGTGAGAGGAAAAGTTAGTCCAATTTTAATTAGAAATGAATGGTCCAGAAAATTACAGATTCTACTTTCTTAAATACCTGACTTATTAAAAGTATCATTTTTAAAAAATTCTACCCATTCATTAATTTTAGTTTAAAATGTAAAAATATGTAGACTAATGTTTAGAGGTAGAAATAGAAAGAGACTCTATTTCAAAGGGTGTTTTAAAAATTTTCCTCGAAAATATTTCCCTACGCCTTTCAAATTTTATGATAACCTTATCACTTCTTTCCTCTATCAAACATAACAATCATCAATCTCTTGCGGCAAACAAAAACATCAAAACAAGATAAATTAAACAATCGCACATTATTTGGAGAAAGCTATATAAATAATGGATTTCAAGCAAAAAATCCATCTCCTAATAGTATGATGTCTTTCGGAATAAAGCCCAAAAATACCATACGAGCATAGATTTAAAGTGAACAAAATCATACTAAATTAAGGTGTGGATCGTTACATCACCCCTTATAAAAAGAAGCTGTCAGGACAGATTGTCAAGATATTCCACTGAAAAACTTCTCTAGCAAGTTTATTTGCACTTTAGAATAATCAAGATTTTGAGTTAGTTCATATTCTAAATAGGCAACTGGATACAACGATTTGGATCTTTCGATATCTCAACGTGCGTGTTTCAATTTCTTCCATGATTTTTGCTCTACCATCTTCGTTTTTGCCCCTTGAAGTCTGATACTATAGCTACTTTATTCTTGTCTTTTTTTTCTCCTACTGGACGTGTAATGCTTGTGTAGTACAGTACGATTGGAAAACCATCGATAATGCGAACACATGTTAACCCCGGAGGGGTTTGATAAGGTTAGAGCATTTCAAATGCAATATTATAATTAATGTGTCAATTGTAAATTTAATATTTAAGTGAAAAAAATTTCTCCGATTAATGTGCTAATTGTAACATTTACATTAGAGATGATCTAGCTGACAAGTAGACCGAAAGGTCAACAAGCCATTGAACCTGAAGGTCACCGGTCACCTGACCAATGGAAGATCAACCGACCAAGAGACCAGTAGCTTACTAGTACTGTACTGTTGAGTGATTTTTTGCATGTTATTTGGTTTGATTTCTGTTGTTTTAGATGTATGGCTTTTAACGTCTTATAGGATTTGGACTTGTTTTTTCTTTAACTGATTTTTCAAAAAATTTGTCTCGTTTACTTACTGCAGTTGTATGGGTCTTCGTTCATCCTTCTCGACAAAGGAAGGACAAGGAGACTTCTCTCTTTGTAAAATTTTATTTTCTCTTAGTTTTTGTCTCAAAATGTTTTTGCATGAATGAGAGTTCTTGTGCAGCTATATTATAGCTTTTAAAATACATATTTTTATTGAATTCAATAATCCTTTGTCAATTTTACTGTTAGCGACTAGAACTTGCAAAAAGAACCAAAATTCAAGAGTAATTTATCAAGAAAAAATTTTAAAAAAATCAAAATGATACAACATTTGTGTTTATGAATTGAACTATGCTAAAGGTGAGTTCAGTAATTTTCTAAACTTTCTTATACAAAGCAGAATTAAATCACAGCTAATAGACCAACCGGTCTTAGACACTATTTATATTCTCATCTTATTTTGTTTTGGAAAATCACAGCTATTTTACTAGGTAAAATCATAAACTTTATATTCAAAAAAACAAAATGCCTAAACTTTAACTTTCTACATTCATCTCCTGTTGGAAATTAAGCTTGCGATCTCTACCATGTTTAGTATTCAATGTATAAAGGAGTTGCACTTTTTTTTCTTTTATTTTTTCCTGAAAAGAAACCACACTTCATTAAGACTGGAAGAACAATGCAAATATAAAGCAAGGAGGAAGGGACGTCTGCCTGGAGAAAGAAGGAAAAAAAAAAAGGACTAAGAATGGTCAGAAATAAAGTAAAGTACGTCAAAAATTGCCATTCCTAATCAAATATGAAAGTTGAAAATGACTAAAGTCGTCATATTCATGCAACCAAATTAGAGCCCACAATTTCACTGTCCCATACTATAGTAATATACTTCCTTCCAAATCAAAATCTTCTATATATGACCCTCATAAAGAAATTGCACATTAAACAGTAACTAAACTGTAACTTTACTAACTAGTTCCATCTGTTATTGAAAATTAAATCTTAGTTGTCTAACGCATTTAGCATTCCACACGTGATCATGTACAGGAGTTGCAAATTAGAAATTACAAGGGAGTTGGCTTCTATAGTTCTCCCTCTTTTATTTTTATTTTTATTTTTTTATTTTTTTCTTCTTCTTCTTCTACTTCTCTTCTCATCTTCATCTCAAACTTTGACAATCAGCTCCACCAGAGACAAAATTCTCTCAAGAGGATCTCCCTCTCTAGTATAAGTTTTTATTAAATTTTCATCTTGTTTTGTTTCCACATTGAATAAGTATATAGATCCACTTAGATCTAATTCTATAATGATGGTGTGTTTGGCACATAAAGATCTCTATCTCGTTGTTGCTTTCTATTTAGCTTTCTCTCGTTTTCTTTTGGTGCATATAAGTTTTTGTTCAGTGCCTAGTCAGATAAGTAAAGATTTAGACGGGTGAACATCGACATCAACAACAGACTTGTTATTGTATCAATCAGAAGAACCTACACTGAAGGTCGATTCTATTTTGGAAAAGCCATATAGGAATTTCTTACAGAGCTCAAATTTGTCTCCTTATGTATCTTGGTGTTGTTTTAATATCTACAAACAAAAGTACCTCTATTTTTTGGAACTTAATTTTTTAAGTTCTCCACCATATTTAGCATACTATATACGACCTTATAAAGTAGTTGGAGTGTCGGACATTGAAAGGTAACTTTAACAAAGGATTTCAGTTTCATACAAAAACATCTAATGGTAATTTCAGTGAATTTTTTCAGCATATATCAGAAAAATAGTGTGTTGTTTGATATCATTGACACATGCAGAATGACTTGGCTCATGCAGTAACACATGCCACCAATATGCAAGGCAATTCCACCCATTAAAAGGATAGTTACAGGAATATATCATCCCATGTTTATTCTAAATCCCCCATATATTCAGACAGAAAAATTTAGAACAAAATTGGAAAGGGTCTTGATATTTACATATGTGGTAAGCAGCAATTTTATTATCCTATAACTATGCATACCTGTGGATTTGGAATAACTATGCGTGGTTCACGAGGGTTTGTCGATTTCAATCATACACTTGAAGTTTCGAGTACTCTTGGCCCGAAATAGCTAGTGCCATTACATCCTGAGGGTTCACAATTCCACCTTCCTCCAAGAACAGACTCAACAGATTCTTCGAAAACCCGCTCACGAGAGCAACCCCAACTTGTTTAGCGACCACCGGAGTGGAAGATGAATTTCTAAGGTTCCAAAACACAATCTCTGGCACCTTGTTGTACCCTTTCTCCCTAAATTTCCTCTGTATGACTTCATAATTGGTTTCCCAACTCCTATTCTTTTCCTCACTCTTATCCACCTTGGACACTTCCTCACACTTATCCTCCTCGGACTGTTTCCCACTCTCATCTTCATTGGATTCTTCCTCACACTTATCCTCCTCGGAATCTTCCCCACTCTCATCCTCGTCAGATCCCATCGTCTCAATGCGACAAGCTTGATCAAATTCCATATCACTGAACACAAACACTCTCTGAATCAACTGCTCCTCACTCAGCTTCCCTTCAATAGCTATTTCCAAAATCCGATCAAAAACTTTCTGAACATTGGTGTTCATACCCCACTCCATCCTCCTCACAAACTCGGTTTTGGACAAAAGGGTGTCTCCTTCAATCTCATGAATCTGAGGATTTTCACTAAATGTAATAACCCTACCCTTCCACGGCTCTTCACTAAGCTCCGAAACCAAAAGACCAAGAGCCACAGACACCTCCATTGGCACACCATCCATACTTCCCGACACGTCACAAACTGCAATACAATTACTCAGCTTCCCTTTCTTGGCAACATCTTCAACCATTCTTTGCCACTGCAATTCCGCAACCTTTCCTCCATCTTCATCCTCCAATGACTTAATGATCTCATGAGGAAGCAAAGCCCCGGCAGCAATCTTTGCCTTGCCACTCTTCACATTCTCAAGATACTCCCCGAATCGATCACTATCATGCTTCGAAAACAAGTCCTTATAGTTCTTCATCGCGACGGAGGCGACCCTATTGTACGGCAAAATTCCCCATTGATTAGCGCTCATGTAAACCTCAGGCAATTCCAATGCCTTGTGAAGAGGCACTAGAACTTCCTTCCTCAACCTATCTCTAATCCTATAAACATAATGAGCCTCCTCAACCTCACCGTACTCCGAATTCGACTCTCGGGGGAAAACCCTCCTAGCAATCCCCTCACAAATCAAGGTACACTTATCATACGAAGAATCAATTGAAGGACACCATTTTGAAGCTAAACTAATCCTATGAATTTCTCCACTACTCAAAAACTGCATATCTAATTTCAACATATCAGCAAAAACATCCGAAACACAATCATACAAAAATCTATAATCCAAATCACTTTCATACCTTTCCAAAGCCCTTTTTGCCTTGGCCAATTCCCTCTCTTTCCTCAAAGCCCTTGCCTTTTCTTTGTCGTTCACATTTGGAATCTTCAATTTCCGCTTCTTCCGATTCTTCCACTCTTCTTTCGCCAGCTTTCGGGTTTCGGACCCTTCGAGAAGCCGGTAGAGAATCTCCGGCAAGTCCTTGAGATACCCAAAATGGGCAAAGGCCCTGGCGTTGAGCGCTAGGGTTTTGGGGTGGGTTTTGTGGAGCCAAAGCGACGCCGTATAAAACCCTTCTTTGTCAGACTTCCCGGTGCCTCTGACGCCTCTCAGATTGCAGACTAGCTTCAGCGCCGTCAAGGAGTCGTGGGCCCAGGCCAGTCTCAGCCGTTGGATCAGATCGGCAGGTGGGGTGTCCGGAACGACGTGGAAGAAGAAATCCAAGCAGGGATTTCCGGTGGAGAGGAAGGTCGGAGAGAGATTCTCCGTCAGACCCATTGGAGGTTTTCCGGTGACGGAATCCATGGCGGTCGGGTTGACGATTTCATCGTTTTCCGGCGATTCGACGGCCGGTTTTGCGGAGTGATCTCTTCCTCTTGCGTCAAGTGGGCCGAGAAGCATGGTGGCAGAGAACGAAAACCTCGGGATTTACGACGAAACTTCGGTTCGTTGGAATTAGAGAGGTGTGAAGTGTTGAATAAATTTTTTTCTATTATATTTATATGATGATATCGTTATGAGGTCTTTCGTATAAGCGTTAGCGGGCGTATTTTCTTGATTTAGAATACGAACTACCTTTCAAAAAAAAAAAATAATAATAATAAAATAAAACAATAGTGCAAGTTAAAATGTCACAAAATCTTCCTTGAAAAAAAAAATGTCACAAAATCTCTTTCAAAAAAAATTATCACGAAATCTCCTTAAAAAATTCACAAAATCTAACAAGAAACTAAAATTAAAATTAGAAAAATAAGTAGTTTTGAAAATTAAAATGAAAAAAGAAGTTAACTTATTTTGACATAATAATTAGTTAGCGTCGGTAATACCTTATAGGGTCGTAAGCATTTCTGAATACTAGATCTAATTAAAATAACATCAATATATAAAAGTAATGTACAACAATAATTTTTTATACAGATATGATTGTTGAAAAACAAAGACCTATTAATAGTTTACTTTTTCAAATTTTACGTTAGAAATCTCCAAATAATTAGAACAAAATAAGGGCCCGTTTAGTTCACTGATTCGAATTTTTAATTCGAGTTGATATATGACTTTATGTGAGAATTTTATACTATAGTAAAAAACTTAGATGTGACTGTTTTTGAGAACTTTTTACTGTTACAAAACTCAAATCGATAAAATAAACTTAGTAAAACAACATATTAAATATTACTATTATACACTTCAAACTAAAGTCATTATAAGGATAATTAATTCATTTATTAACTATCCTTATCACATCATTGATATGAAATTAAAATACTAATCACATAAAAAAAATACAATACTATTTTGGAGAAGAATAGGAAGAGTTGGAGACAGAAGGAAGACTAATACTACAAAAAGGCAAGTACGAGCTAAATAGAGATGGACATTGTGAAGAATAGTGTCTTGCATAAGATGCAAAAAGATATTTATTATTTTATTAATAAAATACCTTCTTTATTTTATTTTATATGCATGTATTACTAAATACTATATGAATATCATTAAAAATTTTGTGATTATTTATGTAATCTTAAATACTGTATATAAGTGTTGTATACGAGAGGATAAAATTTAAGAATAATAATCGAAATATGTTCGTAATGAAGTTAATTAAAGTTTCAAAATTTTTAATTAAAATATTACTAATATATGTCGTTCTCATTAAGAATGAAATGATGTTATCTACATCTTTAATATAGAGGGATATTGAATGAGTGTATTATACGTAATGAGATTCTGTAGAATTAGGATACATATATGATATGAATTTCTAATAATTTTCTTTAAGTATAGAAATTCAAATTGAGTCTACCGATAGTCAATATATGAAACAATCTTAATCCCGAGTTATTAGTAGACTCTTATTTATAGATTTGTGTCTTTTGACTTACTCGGTATGGATTTTGAGATTCTAAATCCTACCTTGTATCTTGGAGACATGATAAAGTAGTTAGCCGGGAATGTTAATATACAAGATGGAATTCATTCCTTCTTCATTGAAGAAATAAATAAATAATTACCTTGAGTGTTGATTCGGTACTTGAATATGTAACGAGCTCGATTGTTGGTTTTCAAAACGTTTTCATGTGCAGAAACATGGTAGTGCGGATCGTGAATAACAAAAATTTTCATAAAACTTTTGAATACTATATAGATTATATTAATTTATGTAATAATAAATCATATTAATTTATAAAGATAGATACCTAGCGAACGATTAAGCGGATAACTTGAGGTATTTGACTACAATCAGTCCAAGCTCTAAGCTTTCTCAGAAAAGTCAAATCTTTCTCGTCTAATCCTTGAAATCTACAAGACCTAGAGTGTGAGCCCTATTAAATAACTATCAGCCTAGATCACTCGCTAATTTTTGTTTCTTCAATATCAACACATGTATGTTAAGAAATTGAGAATTGGAAGAACTTTTCTTATCTTTCTCTCTCTCTAAAATTCGGCTACACTAGGAATTTTTAAGACAAAAAATTCTCTACTCCAATTTTCTATTGTGTCATATTTATAGAACCCTAGGAGACCCTTTTGCTTTAACTTGAAGATAAAGCAATAGAAAAACTGGTTTTCACTATATTTTAATCTCATTAAAATATAATTTCCCATTTAATTTAAGAAACAAAATTCTCTCCACTTTTAATGCATGGCCGGCCACACCACAGGGAAACCTCCCTGTCAAATCTGCAGCAGGAGAATGAGAAAATTTCTCATTTATCCAGTTTCCAACTTTAGCTCAAATTCAAATCTAAATAAAGTCATACTTCACTTTCCTTTTGAATTTGATTGGAAAAGTTATCAAACAAGTAAACCGGATATCTTAGAGAGCTAGTAACTGAATCTCAATGGGATTCTACCTGTGTCACACGCCCCCTGCACCTCCCTGTGCCTGGGCGTGTGGCCTCCTGTGGTCCCACTACAGTGTGTTCTAAAATTAATTTAATTAAATAATCACATTATTTATTTCGAGTGATATTAAATCCTAATAATTCATCTTATCTTGTAAATATTACAAGGATGATGTGGGGACTCATGGACCTAAAATTCTGAGCTCTAATAAAATTAATAGTTAATTAAACTCTTTAATTAATTAATTTTAAAAGTTACTCCACCAAAAACTTGGAATTGCACTCTCGAAATTATAAACATAATTTACTTCTAAGAACTTGAAGTGTCCATTCGATATAGTCATTACATATAGATCAATCATCCATAAATAATTCATAATTAGAGCTAGGTAAAATCCGTTAACCTCTCTAATTACATTTTTATCCTTGATTCTTTAATGAATAATATATTCATAAAACACATTCATGAATACAAACTCGTTATTTTTTCAAGTATTGAATCAACCCTTAAAGGAATTATTTATCTACTTCTTCAAAGAAGAAGGAATTGATTACATGTCGTCTATTAGCATTCCTGTCTATCCATTTCATCATGTTTCCAAGATACAAAAAATATGATTTAGAATCTTGAAATTCGTACCGAGTAAGTCAAAAAACACAAATCCATAAATATGAGTCTACTAATAACTCATGATTAAGATCATTCCATATATGACCATCGGTAGACTCAAATTTAATTTTCTATAGTTAACGGAAATTATAAGAAAGTCAAATTGTGTCTGTGTCCCAGTTCTACATAATCTTATTATGCATAATACACTAATTCAATATCCCTCTATATTAATGATGTGGAGAATATCATTCATTCTTAATGGGAATGACGTGTATAAATAATGTTTTAATTAAAGATTTTGTAACTTTAATTAAATTCATTACGGACATTATTTTGATTATTATCCTTAAATATTATCTTCTCCTATATAACACTTATATACAGTAGTTATGGTCACATAAATAATCGCATAATTTTTAATGATATTCATAAAGTATTCAATAATACATGCACATAAATAACAAACAAACTATTCTATTAATTAAATAATAAATATCCTTATTACATCATATGCTTTAAGGACAATATTCCTATCACTCGTATTCTTGAACGCATTTTATGAATATACTATTAATTAGATAATCAATGGTACTCAAGGATAAAGAAGTAATTAGAGAGATTAACGGATTTCACCTAACTCTAAATAAGAATGATTTATGGAGAATTGATCTATATGTAATGACTATATCAAATGAAAACTTCAAGTTCTTAGAAGTAAATTATGTCTATAATTTCGAGAGTGCAATTCCAAGTTTATAGTAGAGTAACTTTTGAAATTAATAGAATAATTAATTAACGATTTTAATTAATTATTAATTTTATTTAAACTTGGAGTTATTGGTCCATGAGTCTCACGTCATTTTGTAGTATTTGTAAGACAAGGTTAATTATTGGGAATAAATATCACTTTACATAAATAATGTGATTATTTAAATTAATTTTAGAACACACTGTGGTGGGACCACATAAGGTAAAACGCACAGCACATGGAGGTACAGGGGGCGTGTGACACAAGGAGAATCCCTTTTGGGATTCTGTTGTTTTCTCTTTAAGTTATCTAGTTTACTTGTTTGACAAGTTATCCAACTGAATTCAAAAGGAAATTAAAGTTTGACATTATTTGAATTTTAATTTGAGACAAAATTAGAAACTGGATAAAAGGAGAAAGTGTTCTCATTCTCCTAGCAGTATCGGATGCCAACCATAGGGAGATATCTTTGTGGTGGCTAGTTTTAATAGAGATAGAGAGAGAGAGAGAGAAATTTTTTTTCCAAAATTAAATGGGAAAGTATATTTTAAATATGATTTAAAATATAAGGGATAACCAATCTTCAATTGTTTAACTTGAAGATAAAGCAAAGAGCTCTCCTATAACTCTATAAATAGGAGGGAATAGAAAATTAGAGAACACAATTTTTGCTCTCTTTCTGTAACACCCTGAAGAATTAATTGAGATTAATTAAGGTAATTGAGATTATTAGTGTGCCTAATCTGGATTATTAATTGAGTATTAATTAATAAATGTTTCTGACACGTGTGAGTTTAAATAGTTCCAAGGTATTTAAATTATTCTCAGTAATTTATTTTAAACCAGAAGTGTGTATGGGCGCATTTCTAGACTGCTCTTTTAAAATATTGTACACATGTCTTTTTCTTTTCTTTTCCTTTTCTTTTCTTTTCTTTCTTTCCTTTTTCCTTCCCGTGCATCTCTCCCTCTCACTCTCCCGTGCATCTCTCTCTCTCTCATTTTTGTCCCAAATCAAATGGATCTTGAACCAAGAAAAGATTTAGAGAAGTTTTCAATGTCGAGAGAACGATTCAAGGTAAGATTACTGAAAGAACCTCTCTTGAATCTCAAGTTTTTGAATTTCAAAATTTATTTTTGGTTCAAACCGGATTTTGATGGTTTTTGAGTAAAACTAGGGTAGAAATTGGAGATCTAGGGTTCTTTGGACTTGTTTTAGGACCTAAAACCCATATCTAGTGGGTTTCCTTT